CGCAGTGCTCCAGCCCCACCCCTGCGCCAGGGCTCCAGGCTTATGCCCATGGTGCCCGGGGACCCCCTGAAACCACTGATGCCGGTTGAGAGCAGCAGTTCTCAAACTTCATTCCACCGCAACCCACTTCTGACAAAAAAAATTACTGCATGACCCCAAGAGAGGGGGGACCGAAGCCTGAGCCCACCCAAGCCCCACCACCCCAGGGCCAAAGCCCAAGGGCTTCAGCCCCAGGCAGGGGGCCTATAACGGCCCCGCCGCCCCGAGCAGTGGGGCTTGGGCTTTGGCCCCATGCCTCAGGCTTCAGCCCTGGGACCCAGCAAAATTAATGCCAGCCCTGGTGACCCCATTAAAACAGGGTTGTGACCCACTTTGGGGTCCCAACCCACAGTTCGAGAACCGCTGCTCTAGAGGGTGCTGGTGCGGATCCAAATTTTTGTATCCTCACAGGGTCTACACATATCTGCAGACTTGAAAGAAGCTAAGCACCTGCAACTTCCACTCGAATCATCAGAAGCTGCAGGTGCTCAGCACCTCTCAGGATGAAGCCTCGTGGGCATCATTTGTTCTAGTCAGGATGATAATCAAACAGTTGAACCATTAGCATATGTTATGCAGATTCTCCTTTGCCCCTTCCAGTCTATTACTCATGAGTGAAGTTCCCCTAATGTGTGAGAGAAAGCAAGCAGAGAAGCATTATGCAAAATAAATTCCTGTTTGGTAAGGCTACTAACTCCATCCAAGTCACCCAGAAACTCCCTCTCAAGGTGCCTCAAAACCCTATACTCCAGGCTGGGCAGTGACATTCCAGCAAAGAACAATGCTGCACTCATTTTACATTCTTTCCTGACACCACCTGCCATCCTTCAGTTATCAGTTCACCTCCTTTTGTCCTAGGGCACCAATGCAGTTTTATTCTCTGAGATTTGGTACCGTCCTGCAGTGAGTCTTTATGTTCTAGCATGAAGGAAAGTAGGTGCTGTTCCCCACTCCTTCTATTCCGGGACAAATAAAGACAGATGGTACACAGAGGCCAGGGAGCATGAAACTAGCAGCCCTGTGGATCTGTACTCTGATTCCCCCACATCATCCACTCTTTTGCTTTAGCCTTCTCCAAGAGACCCCTGCAAGGAGGGCTGGATACAGCTTTTTTCTGGAACCCAATAGTACTGCCTCCTTCAGCTAAAGAGAGTTGCTCACGAGCTAGGAGCACTTCTCTGGTTTAAAGGGGTTGTGTACAGGGCTCACTATGATCACACAAAGATCAGAACTCCCATTTTTAATCCTATCCTTATTAGTCCATTCTGTTTATGCTCACAATTTTCTTTCTGTCTTTAGATCCCCATCATTTTCCATACTTAGAGCCAAATGAATGCTTATCTATACACACACACACACCTGCAGTATGCACAGGGTTAATGGTAGTACCTCATTCCAGAACACACTGGCATTCTCATGCATTTGGTAGGCATTAGCAGTCTTCAACTCCTCCTCTCAGCTAAAAGAGTGATGAGTGGTACATAGCATTTGTATCCTCTGCATGAAATACTTTCTGCAATCAGAGAACAAGATCCAAGTGCATCTGTGGTGCTCCAATATTTAAATTGTTTTGTTGGTAGAGCAGATGTTACTACCTCTGAATGCAGTGCCCACTAGAGCTGCAATGGTCAAGGAACCATCTGTCTCTTACAAAAATTGCTATTTTCCAAAGGAGGCTTAAAATCAGGCTACACAGGTTCTCCTAGCTACAATGTGACACACAAGCCATCAGTCCAGGAAAGGGATTCTAAAAAAAAAAAAAACCCGAACCCAACAGTAAAAAAAACCCACAAGTTTATCTGAGATGCAGGAGAGTCTATAGGGTAGCTTTGGGGGTGGGGGGTGCAGAATTGTACTGCTGTAACTGAAGCGTCTTTGTTGTTTAAAAAGGAAGTTTTACAAGATATTAAGTCATTCATGATATAGCATATGCTTATCTCCAGCACTGTCAAACATAAGCCAATGAAAAGTTATGGAAATTCAAAGTTAAAGCTAAATCTGTCATTTACTCACTCATCATACATTAGCAATGTAGGTGTCAGTAGCAGAGGATCTTAAAACTCTAAACTTGCTATGTGTGCATAAAGTGGGTATTTGAACCTTGAGAGTTTCATTCTTGGGAGAATACAAAAGCCAGATGCTTAACATTTAATCTTTTGAAATATTCCGCACATTCTCTAAACTGCAAGAGAGAATAAAGTGGGTCTACTCGTGTACTTCCACTACTCTTAGTGAAAGAATAGAAACAGAGAACCTAAAGTTAATATTTGCAGGTTAAATACAGCTTAATTTGTAGTTTAGGTACTGAAATCCCCCAACAGATTCAAGGAATATTTCACCACATTTCCAAAGTTCACTTACCTCCCGCTTTTAACAGTTGCAATGTGCAGACTCCACACTCTTCCCAGCTGCTCCCCCCCACCCCCCAGTCCATTTAATTGCTGGCTCCCATTTAGTGTGATAATCCAGCATGATAATCAATTCTGCTGGGCTCATTCTCTGCACAAATGAAGAGTGACAGAGCTTGCATATGGGGAGTACATTTAAGTCACTCTTTCTTAATATTGCGTGTTGTTTTAAAGTTCTTTTAAATCTTATTCTAAAGGGTCTCACAAAAAAACTTTAAAGCAAACACACAATATTAGATGACAAACTCACCCTTATAAGCCTGCTCCAACCCTATTCAAAGGTGCAACTGACATCCCCAGTAGACTGCCTGCTGGGATATCACAGTGAGTGGGAAGCCAGTAGTCATGCATCTTTTGCAACCTGAAAAAACAAGGTAAATGTTATAAGTATGCTGAAGTGGTCCCACGACCTACTGGGGGAAGTCAGTACACAATACTTGCAAATTGCCTTTGAAAATTATTACTTAACTCCAGCAGGTCTTTGCCATTTCTAACTACTCTGAGCCTATTTCCTCCTAGGGTTACCTATATGTTTTGGGATTGTCACTTTAAACAATGAATGCATATAAGAATATTGACTTAATACCACCAATAGCTCAACCCTTGTAATTTAATACATTAGGCTGTAGGCACAAAAGAAGGGGACTTTTTTCCAAAATGTCACTGGAAGCCATCCAGTGGATTATGGTTATATATTCTCTGGGGGCAGCTATGTTCCTATATGCAAGGATGAAGTTCCAGACATCGTTAAATCTTCACATACATCTCTGCCTGATCAAATAAGATAGGAAAGCCGATGAAAGTGAACTTGGTAAGTATGTGCTACATACACAGTTATGCTTCCTGACCTTTGGAAGCCATAATCCTGCAAAGGTGAAAGGTCCTATATTATCCCCCACTACATCTTTCAGCGGAAGTTGAGTCATTTAAAAAAAAAAAAAAAAAGCCCAAAGAACTGGTGAACCGAGGTCAGATGCTTAATATTCAAATACTGAAGACTTTGGAAGCTGCTTCCTCACCCTAGAGGAGCTGTTTGCAGAATACCATGTTCAAGAGAGATTTTTAAGATAACAGAATAGGCGTAGGTAAAAGCACGATCCATTTGTTGCACTAAAATGAAGTTTGTAAGGATAAAAAAATATTCAAAACCTCTATACTCAGAATTGTATAGCTATGTGCTTGAGAATATTAGAAACAGCTTTGTGGAAAGAAAATTAAGCATTTCGCCTTTTTCTTTTAAAAAGATACACTCCACCCACAAATACACAAGCCAACATCTCCATCCATCCCTGGAACACCCAAGATCATTGACCCCAAACACACCACACATTCAGTTTAAAGGAGATTATTTGTGTTAAGTACAGGACAAGGTTTATTTAACAAGCTAGACAAGCCATTCAACTAGCCAAGCTGTCTCTGTCAGTACTCCAAGTTCACAGCACACCTGCATTTGCCAATATCTCTGTGTTATATATCCCCTAGAGATAAGCTGCCTCTGTGCATCAGTGAAGACACTATTACTGAAAAACAAGCACTGGGTCCCACCACCCAATTTTGAGTTGGTTATAAATTGTGGAATGGAACCTAAGAGTAAGTGGAGAAGAGACCAAAACCAATTTGATGATGACAGCTGCACCCTGCTCAACTTTAAACAAATGCCCACTCCTTAGGAAAGCCACTTTGATATCAGAAAGCTCCCACGCACTGTATCCTATTTAAAGCCAACTTAACTCAAAGCAAATGATAGAAAGAAGAAAAGTACAAATGTGTGTGTGTTACATTTTATAAACGAGTCATACTCAAAAGCACATTTTGTAGCTAGGTTTTGATAAGCTAAGTATCCCAGCAAACAGTACTTAAAAATATTTCTCCACTGAATCAAGACCAAATTCTGCCTAGGAAGTGGGCTTAAGGAACAAGCACACACCTGTCCTTAAACTTTTTTTTTTTTTTTGGTAGCATACATTGCCACCTCTTCCACTCCTCCTAAAAATTGGGTGTAGCTGACTTTTTATTAGCATACACTCCAGTGTCCTACTGGGTTTAGTAAAGAAATAGGAATGAGCTCAAAGCACGCTGCTCATTCTAGTAAATGCTGAAGCTTTCAAACAGCAAAATCATAATTATGCATCTGAAAAAAAGAATTCAGTAGATATTTTTTAAAAAGCATCCCCCAAACCAGTTACATACATCACTAATTTCAATTTAAGTCTACACAAAATTCTCAGTATTTCTCTGCTGCAGTCCAACCTTTGCAGCAGGGCGATAGGAACCTGAAAGTGAAATTAACTACAAGCAGTTAAACCAACTGGTCTACTTTCGTTATTTAAACTTAGTTGCCAACAGTCAGCATTAACAAGGAAAAGTAAATTCGATTTTTTTAAATGATTGCAGTTTTAATCATGTAAGGAGGTGTTAGTAACATAGTTAAGGAAGGGATTTTTTGTAGTATGATTTTTAACAGGATGTCCTTTTGAACTAATTTGAAGCAAGCCTCTCCCAACTAATGGCGAGCACAAGGGTAAAGAAACAAAGTTGAAATAAGAGACTTACTCTGTGATCGTCTTTGCCAGCTCGGTGCAGGCTGCTGTGGAATTCGCCGAGAAGACCCGGTAGCCACTTCTGGCTGCATTCATTGCCAAGGAATCATGCAAACCCCTTGGAGCTCGAAAGTGAGAAAAAACAGATTTGTAAGGCAACAACAGCTTTCTTGGCATCCTTTTCCACCTCTCAACCGCTATCACCGCCCCTTAGGGGGTGGGAGGGGAGATGGGTGAGCCCTCAGCAAGCGAGGATCTCCATAGCCCACTGCTACTGGCGTATAAAAGAAAGGGGAAAAATAAAATAAAAAAGCAGCAGTTGCAGCAGGCTCGGATGGCCACCTGGCAGTCTCCAAAGGGAGTTCAAAAAGGGACCAGTCAGCCCAGGATTAACTCTTTGTCCACCACCCCTACAAACCGCCACCTGTGGGAGAAGAAAGAATTCCTCCCTGAGCATACAGGGGCCGAACTCAGCACGCCCGGAGCAGCCGAAAGCTCGGCCTTTCGCTTCTAGTTTGGGTGGGCGGGCTGGAGCGGGGAGTCTATGGCTCAAACAAGACACGGGAGGGGGGAGAGGCGAAAACAGCCACCCGAGGGAGAGGCTGCAGCTCCCGGGGGTTGAAATCCAAGTTACGGGGGAAGAGCGGGAGAGGCTGCGTCCCCTGGGGCAAGCTCGGAGAAGCCGATGCAAGGGGGGGGGGGGGGGGCGGGGGGGGGAGGGAGCAAGTTTAAACACAGGGGCGGGGGGGAGAGAGAGAATCTCAGGCGAGACAGTTGAGGTGCCCCCCGGACAATAGAGGCCAAGGGACCTGGGGGGAGGGGGAGACGGCCCCAGGGAGCAGGGGACCCACAAACAGCCCCCCAAAAGCGTGGGCAGGAGAGAACAAGAGCCCCCCTCCCAGGATAAGAAAGGGGCAGAGTGGGGCTAAGAGGGGCAACGAGGTGAGGTGAGGCGCCGCTTAGGCAGCCAAGGGGGGGGGGGGCAATAGGGTGGCGGCCCCTAGGCCGGGGGCAGTAAGGGGAGGGTCCTAGGAAGAGCTGGGGGTAATACGGGGGAGGGGCCCCTAGGCTCGGGGCGGCTGCCGCGGGGCAGTCAGGCGAGTGAGTCCCTTTAAGATCAGGCTGGCAGGGTCCCCTCAGGCAGATCCGGCGCTGCTGCTGCTGCCGCCCCGCGAGCCCGTCCCGCCGCCGGCCGCAACCGCCTCGAGGATCACGTCCGACCCCGACTCACTGCGCGCGCTCGCTCGCCCACCCGCTCCCCCTCTCCGCCAACTTGCTGGCACGATCACCGAGCTGCCAGGCTAGAGCGCCGACCCACTTCGGCGGCCATTTTCTAATTAGACCTCCAGCCCTTCCTCCTCCCCCTTCCGCGCAGCCATCTTGAGTGAGGGCATTAAACTATTATCGATACCGATGGAGGTGGACCTCGGTTATCCTCCACCTGACCGGCCCCTAAGGAGGGGATAAGATAGGAAGAAACCTAGGCTGAGTTCTATCTCCGGGCGGCGCAGTTGGGGCTGTTTATTTCCCCGCCCTGTGGTTATGGCTTCGCTTCCCGGAGCCAAGATGGCCGCCGGGCTGGAGGCTCAACGGAAGGGAGGGAGCAGGCGCTCTGTAATCACGCTCACCGCAGCCTCTATGGTAGAGGGAGCGGGCTGTGGGAGAGGAGGCGGGGCCGGGTGGCCCAGGATGGGTGGAACCGTCTGCAGACTGTGCAGAGGCGCCCGTGAGGGGTTAGGGTAGCAGGGGAGGGGGACATTGCTGGGTCCCTGGTCTAAGTGCCCTGCTCTGCCTTAGGGTTCCTGGTCTCAGTGCCCTGCTGCCCTGGCTGGGGGCTTGCCTTGCAGCTAACACTGCCCACTGGCGGGACTGGCCTGAGACCCACCAAACTCATCACACACCCCACCAAAGAGCCGCCTGGCAGGGATGTACATGCCCTGGTCCTGCATTGGATTGGAACCAGCAACACTTAAGGGAGAGGACAGGCTCCTCATCCCACCCTCCATCCTCTTGCGAAACGTGCCAGCCCAGATCCCCTCCAGAAAATGTACTCCCACCTCGGTGATCGCTGTAAAGATCCACGCCCCCACCCTGTCGTGAGACTGAGCGACAAAAAATCTCCCAGGATGCCTGTAGCAGAAGGAAGAATGGCAGAAAATAAAACCCTGTACAAAGAGAATGTTCAACCTTGCACGAAAAGTATTGTGCAAGGCTTCCCTGACTTAACTAGTCCCATCCCCTTTGTTTTTAAAATTGTGTTTGTACTAGCTGCTCCCAGTTATAAACTGTCCCAAAGTTTCATTAACCCAGAGTCAAAGTTGCCAGGTGGTGTTTCATGCCCTTCCAGAACATCACGTTTAGCTACACTCAAACCTCTGAAAACCAGGACATGCAAAGTTAAAATACACACATCACCTCCACAATACAAACTGAACTCCCTGGAGCTGGCAGGGCCACTGAGAGATTCTATCTGTCAAGGTGCCCCCTCTGGGTATGTGAGCACCTCACAATCTTTGATCCAGTTGTCCTCACGTTGCCCCGTGAAATAGGGCAACGCTACTACCCCCCTTTTACAGATGGGGAATTGAGGCACAGAGAGACTCAGGTACACTGCAATGAAAACTTATGATGGGCTCATGCCAGCTGACTCGGGTTCCCAGGCTCTTTTGCTGCTCTGGGACTCCGGCCGGAGCGCTGGGTCGGGGCCACACCAAGCGGCTCAGCCCCGCTCCAGCCGAGGCACTGGATCGGGGCCGCACCATGCGGCTCCCGTAAGTTGTGGCTTGACCCCACTCCGGCTCCTACCCACTCCAATGGCCCCCTCCGGCACTCCAGTGGGAGCTGCAGGGGTGGTGCCTGCGGACGGGGCGGCGTGCAGAGCCACCTGGCCGCGCCTCTGTGTAGGAGCCGGAGATGGGACAGGCCACTGCTTCCGGGAGCCGCTTGAGGTAAGCGCTGCTTGGACCCTGCACCCCCTGAGCTTCTCCCCATGCCCCAACTCCCCTCCTGCTCTCCAAACTCCTCGATCCCAGCCTGGAGCACTCTCCTGCATCCCAAATTCCTCATCCCCAGCCCCACCCCATAGCCTGCACCCCAACCCCAATTTTGTGAGCATTCGTGGCCTGCCATACAATTTCTGTTCCCTGATGTGGTCCTCGGACCAAAAAGTTTGCCCACCCCTGCTCTAGCCCAAGCTGCAATTAAGCAGCCACTTAACCTGAGCTGCCATGCGCCAGTATTGAACGAGGGTCTCCCAATTCCTATACAAGGCCCCCAACCACTGGCCCATCCTTCCTCCATAGGCTCAGTAAGGGGGCTTGCCATAATAAGTAGACACAAGGAATGACTAAGAGAATGTTCCATTGTTTGTCCAGTGTTCTACAGCTCTGAATTCCAGCACTTACCTGCATGTGTGTTCCGACTGCCGTTAGGTGGAGGGAGTAGTTGGAGCAGATTGGCAGAGTTGTTACTATGAAAGATGAGAGCTGATCTTGCCTCAGGGATTGCCATCCGTCTGGTGGCATAAATGTCAGTGGTCTCCAGGGATCAATGAGAGGGTAAGTGAAAGGAATGTATGTCTCAGAAGACATCCTTGGGGTGAGGGTGAAGGAGGTTGCCCTGGTGGAGCAGTTGTGGGGAGAAATTGTTGAGAGACAGGGACATTTGTGGGGGGGTAGGAACGACACAGATGGCTTCCCTTCCCTTCAGCCTCCTACTCTGCAAATCTGGGGTGGTTTGTGTGGAGTAGGTTTGTGTGTTGAGTGTTTGAATGAAGCAAGTTTTGCTTCAGTAAAGAGAAGGACTTTGTCCTACAGTGCTCGAGTGCTTTGTTCCCAGAATGGGCTGTAGCGTCTGTAAGGGCAGAGTGATAATATGGGTGTTACTGGCATATTGGGGCATGGCTCAGGGAGGGCAGAGTTAAGGTTGAATTGCAGGACTCATATGTGCCTTGTCTCTGTATTTCCCGGTTTTCAGGGGGTTACATTTGCATTACCTTAACCCTTCACTTTCTGGTTTCAGAGGTTTGAGCTCTAACTCGGCATTCACAAAGTTCTGGGGCAGTTAATTTCCTTGGGGTTGTTTGTTTGTTTTAAATAATTTCTCACCACGTTCATTTACCACAGCCCAGGTGTCCCCCTCCACTGCCTCTGGCTCCTTGGCCATGACTGGACCAGCCACAGAAGACACTGGATGCACGTTAGTCCTTTCACTGCCTCTGCATCACCCCTTCGCTTCCCAGCCGTTGGTCTGGCCCGCACAGATCCTTCCTGCCCATCCTTCTCCTCCATCCCCCAGGCAGAGCTGGTTTTGGTGTAGCCCCACAGATTGAGGAGCTAGACAGAGAATGCAGGCACTAACATGGAGTCAGTTGAGACGTATTTTGAAGAGGGAACAAACATTGCAGGACATAGATATGGGGAGAGGCTTGGCGGGTCAGAGCTGAAGCCCCCTTTACTTCCCACACCACGCAGCTTTAGGGTTGCCAACCCTCCCGGTTTGGCCAGGAGTCTCCCAAAATCGGGCTCGATCTCCGGGAGGCTACTGAAGACAATCCGGGAGATTTTAGGCCGCTAAAAGTCAGGCGGCACAATGGGGCTAAGGCAGGCTCCCTACTTGCCCTGGCTCCATGCCGCTCCCGGAAGCAGCGACATGTCCGGCAAAGGCTCGTAGGCGGAGGCACGGCCAGGGCATCTCTGCGCACTGCCTCCGCTCCAAGCACTGCCTCCGCAACTCCCATTGGCCAGGAATGGGGAACCGCAGCCAATGGGAGCTGCAGGGGCGGTGCTTGCAGCTGCCTGGCCGCCCGTGAGCCTAGGAGCCACTGCCGGACATGCCACCGCTTCCGGGAGCCACCTAAGGTAAGCACCACCCAGCCGGAATCTGCACCCCGAATCCCCTCCTGCACCTCAACCCTCTGCCCCAGCCCTGAGCCTCCTCCCACACTCAAATTCTCTCCCAGAGCCCGAACTCACCCTGCACAGTCCTGAGCCCCCTCCCGCACCCAAACTCATTCCCAGAGCCTGCACCCCGAACCACCTGCCCCAGGTTGGAAACCCCTTCTGCACCCAAACTACTTCCTGCACCCCAACCCCCTGCCTCAGCCCCCTCCTGCACCCAAACTCCCTCTTGGAGCCTGCACCCCAACCTCCTGCCCCAGCCCGGTGAAAGTGAGTGAGGGTGGGGGAGAGCGAGCAATAGAGGGAAGGGGGCTGGAGTGGGGGCAGGGCCTCGGAGAAGGGGCGGGGCAAGGGTGTTTGGGTTTGTGCGATTAGACAATTGCAACCCTACGCAGCTTTGACCCTCTTTTCCTCTCCACACTCTCCTGCACTGCTCTGCCCTCCCTTCTTTAGAAGCAGTAGCCTGGTTGGGGCAGGACAGAGACTGGTGTTCCTTCCACTGATCAGGGAGGAACTGTTGAGGGCTGGAAGGGAGGAATGAGGGTGGGTATTAGGTAACTCCACACTGCTCTTCCCCTCCAAATATGTTACTGCAGGAGCGCATGCCCAATTTCCTCCCCTTGTGCCTTCTGCTCTGTCAGCACTACTAAGTTCCCACTGAGCAAACGTCCCTTTGACAAGGGATCGCAACTGCCAAAAAACCAAACAAACGCAGGGCAGCAAGTGTCAAAGTCCAGGTCAACTGCTCGGGCTCACCCGCTGAGGCTGAAAATAACAGGGTAGACATTCCTACTTAGGCTGGAGCCCGGGCTGTGAAACCCAGCGACGGGAGGTGGGTCTCGGAGCTCAGGTTCCAGCCCGAGCAGGAACATGTACACTACTTTTTTTTAGGCCTGTAAGTGCAAGCTCCATGAGCCTGTGTCACTTGACCCGGGCTCTGAGACTCGCTGCCACGGGGGGGTTATTGTAGTATAGACGTACCCATAGAAAAGCTACATTTTTGGAAATGCAGTTCTAGTGAAAGCTCAAGTCATCACACTGGGTTTTCAAAGATCTCCTACACTAGGAAGGGTCATTGTCTCTGGGTGTTCTAGCCCCTCATTAGCTGTGCCTGAGCTAGGCCTAAGGGCAAAGGTTAGCAAAGGGACAGAGCCCACAGCCTTCATTTTAAAGAAGTAGCAAAGGGCGCCGACCCTATTTCTTTAAATCCTTAATTGCATGTAATTTTAATGATGGGTCTCTAAGACTGTGGTAGCAAAAGACTCTAGTAACTGCTCTTTCAAATGTCTCTTCAATGATGGCTTGCCTCAGCTTTCTCTGAATTTTCCAGCCACCATTGCTCTCTGTGCATCAGAGATTTAAGAACTCTTCACCCATTCAGAGTTCGGAATTGCCCACTCTTGACTCCTTCAATTCCACCCCTTTCCCCAAAACCTGGAAGCATAGCTAGGCTGGGCAGTGTGCCTTGAAGGTCAACAGACCCAGGCTCTGTCAGACCAAGAGTGGGGAGGTGAGTTCCAGAGTTGAAGGCCAAAACCCCCCCTCCCCCGACAATGCCCTTCCATTTAAAGCAAGGGTCTGCCAGCTTGAGTGCTTCCGCTGCTCGGGTGTCACCCGGGGAGGCGAAGAGACCTTGTAAACAGAGCACGGAGCTGGGACTCTGGAGAACTCTTTGCAGCTCTGCCCAAGCTCACCCAGCAGGTCGGTGGCAGCAAGTCACTTCCCCTCTCGGCTTCCTTTAAAGCACTTTGAGATCTATTGCTGACTAACACTCTCTGAAAGCAAGGTATTGTTATTGATAATGTAGATGTGTAGAAGTCATGCACATCTATTGCTGAAAAGCCCATGGTCAGAGCTAGTTATTATTATTCTCACCAGGAGAAAGGCGCTCCCAAAGGAAGCCAGGTCCCACACAGGTCCAGAGTCTATACAAAACTCTCTTCTATGTCTGTAGCACTCTTTATTTGCATGCAGGATGTTGACCGGCAGCAAAGCTGTAGTGATACACTTGCGCATGGTCCCGGAGACAGCTGCTTCAGTTTGCAAGCCCAAAATACAGGGTTCTGTTGCTCATTCTGCACTCCGGTGTTTGTTTGTTGTGAAACTATAGCAGGCCTTGTTTCACTCAGAGACAGGGAGTGAGTGCAGACTCCCTGTTAATGATTGCTATGCTAGTGTGAATGAGAGGGGGATGAGAGCAGGGGGACGCATG